ACTTACTTACTTACTTACTTACTTACTTACTTACTTACTTACTTACTTACTTACTTACTTACTTACTTACTTACTTACGTACTTTCTTACTTACTTACTAAAAATATATATTATACAATGTATAACACTAATATTTCCGATTCACTTTGGTCTTGACCATTCTGAAGCTAAACATTAGCCCATCAATCTAAACAAAATTAAAATCTGTTTGTCCAAACCAAGGTTGCATATTAATTTTTCATAAACTTGTCACATACCCTCTGCAAAAGAGCCAAACTATACTTTTAATACAACACTGTAAGAAGTGTACGGCTGCCAAACAGAATACTGTAGAATTTAATTGAGTTCATTTTCAGAATCTCTGGTCTCAGGAGTGATTTTTGCAATAAATACCAAAAAATGTGTCTTTGCTTTGAACTAAATCAAACTTTTAGAGATGTGTTTTGTTCAGATGATGTTTTTCTTTCTTTATACACAGAGATGTGTGTGTACAAGAGGATCTCAACATCCAACCAACACACAAGGACCTGCTGGCTCGCATGAGGTAAACCTCCACTCAGCTGCTGTTTCGGTTGTGTTGGAGCCCGTTTTACAGGGGCAGCGGGTGTGATGAGGCTTTTAAAGGCTGGATTTGAGTTCATGGTTTCATTGCTCTTCGACTCATGTGGGAAAACAGCAACAGTGGTGATAAAAGCTGGTACTCGTTCAACTGTTATTGTGTGCAACTTCACATGTGAGCAAATTACAGTGCCTTCAAAAACACGTGATAATGACATTTGATGAAAACCAGGAGTGAAAGGATGCATACAGTTTATCTCTTTTATGAAAACTACTTGTTCCTTCTTACTAATTTGTATAAATTGTGGGACTTTAAAGAAATATAGATTTTTTTTCTAACAAAAGCTTTAATTGTTGAAATATAAACTTCGTAGATATGAAATGTTATCAAGTAAAATCATAACTATCTCCTTATTCTATGTGAGGTCGCAATGAAATTTCACATCAAACGAAGAACAGGTCAAACTGAYCAAAACGTCCACCCAGAGGACCAGCAGGTTTTGTTGTTGTGCAACGCAGTATTCACCAATCATCACCATTAATTGGATTAGTTCTTAGTGAGATTTTCATCTTCCTCCTCATCCTTCTCTTCTGTATCATCATCATTTGGTTCATGAAACAATCTATTCTTACTTTTCTTTTGCTCTTTTCATTCAGCCTTTCTCTTCATATCTCATTAGTTTCCAATTTAGATAACTAGAGTGCTGGGATCCCTGTGCAGACACACACACACACATACACAAAAACTTGTTTTTATATCCTTGTGGGGCCCGTCCATTGACTTCCATTCATTTTTTGGTAATTTTACATCCTAACCCTGACCACAAACCCTAAAGCTAACCTCACAGGTACCTACCTGACCCTAAAGCTAACCTAAACTCAATTCATACATTGGTCCTAAACCCAACCCCCACACCCAAAATCAGCCTCTGAAGTTGTGGGGCCCAGTCTTTGGGCCCCACAAGGAGCACCCGGTCCCCACGATGCTGCATTTTCCTTCAACATGGGCCCCACAATGTAGGAAAAACAAAGCCACACACACACACACACACACTCTCTCTCTCTCTCTCTCTCTCTCTCTCTCT